TTAACACCTGCTCTGGTAATTCCAAACAAGGGCGTATAACGGTGGCCAATTTACGTTATCAACTCGTTTATAAAACTAAATTACCCTATCTCACGATGTGATTACGGCGGATGTGGATCGCGACATTTCGACAGCAAACTGCTGGTCTTCTTTAGGCGATGAGGTTGATCGAGAACGCGTCATCCATAAACTGTTTTGTTCAGCTGTGATTGGTGTATCTTTGGACCAGATTCCTCTGCGGTCACGGCTCTCCTGCTGTTATGTTTCTTTATCGTCGGCATTCAGGCTGTTGGGCTTTCGATTCCACTGTCCCTATTGATGTTGTCAGGTTGAAGTCTTATGTGGTAGCCTTTTTCACCCTGTGTGTGTATAAATGGGGATCACGATTTATAAGCTTCACTTTTTCCCAAAGCGCGCGGTATTCGGTAACGAGGGTGTGCTCCGAAACGTTCAATGGAGGTCTGCTTTTCTTTAGCAGTCTCATAATCTTAGAAGAAAATCTTTAAACTCCAATCTAAACTATTACCAGATGAAGTGATAGAAAGTATTGCATATGAATTCCGTGCATTTTAGTATTTGAGTTAGCACCTTTATTGTCTTGATTAGCATTGGGGCCCATTTTAAACTACACAAAGATGCCGACATTCCGACTATTACACAGATTACTGCTGGTGCTGTCATGGCGATTTCTCACTGTCATTTTCACCAAACTCAGGCGTGATTTAAAGGCTGTCGTAGCATGGGGATAAAAAGGCACATGAAACCGGAGCTCTGCTTCATCATAGGGGTACTTCAGCATTTTCACATCCAGTCAATTATAAAGTTATCCATATCCTTTATAATGATTGTCATTTAAAAGAATCCTTAATAAAAAATGATATTTTCTCTACATAACAGATACCAATATTTGATAAAATGGTAGAATGATCTTAATGAAATAAAAATGATATCAGTCAAAATAAAGAATAACTTAGTCAAAATAAACCGTTAATTCGTCGATTTTCTCTTTCTTCGTTCGTTCAATCTTTTGCAATGCACGCGGTTTTGATTAAGTATAACATCGCAACTGTTTGTATCCTTTTTCCATTAATTTTGGTATCGAAATAAAAGCGTTTGTTGTCTTCATCACTTTCTATCACCAACTTTTCTGGCATTTTGATACGTTTTAATAAATCTTGTTTGTTTCTTTTTTAACCTTTTCCAATGGATTCGATTTTACATTTAATAATTTCTTGCCATACCTTTCTGCATACTCTTCAATGTGTCTATTTTCGATTTTTTTTCTTAATTCCGCTTATCTTTTATGGTGCTTCTGCAATCAATTTTATTTTAGGGTTTTTATCTTTGTGTTTAAACACCTGGCTGTTTTTATTCGATAAATGTCATGTCTCAAGGTCTTCACAAGTTAAACCTACATATACAGTTCCGTCACTTAAAATCACTTTGTAAATCTTACTATTCGAGTAAAAGCTACTGAATTTCGAATTAGTCAATTCTAACAATGGCTGCCTCCGGATACAGTGTCTATCACTCACTTCTATGTAATCGACATGTATATAGTCGAGTTTTTCGTACGTGATAATGCTGTGTACAACTGTTTCTTATCCATACAATTGACGTCGCATATAATGTAATTTTCACCGATATCCCAACCCTGATACTTATATACTGTTATGCAAATTACTGGCATGCTGAAAACTCTTTCTCTTCAAACAGTTGACTATTTACCGTAAAACGTTTGTTATTTATATCCTCTATCACAAGTTCCATTGCGCTGTAAATGTTATCTTTTAAATTTTTGGGTACTAAAACTGGTATGCCTTTGCAAATATCATATGTTTCTTTCTTGTTATCATATTTGAATTCCACAATCACACAGCGAGCTTCTCTTTTTCTCTCCAATGAATATATTACAACATTCTGTATTCACATTCTTTCTTGTTGAGTTCAAATAACAGGTATTTTTACAATATTTTTCCCTTATTGGAATGAATTATGTTGATAGGGTAGGGTATGTATTATTAATTATTTATTAATATCTTAAGGTATGATTTGCTGGTGTCGACATATTTATCAAGTCATCTGGTATGTTTTCGATAGTGAACCATTGAATAGCTCTTGGGTAGAAATCATCTAACATCTGGTCTTGCATTTACATTATACGCGCTTTCTGGTAAGTAGCCACACATATGATTGAACAGTGCCATATTGATGCTTGTAGATGACTGATTTGTCCCGGCAAATGAAACTGTTTGTTTTATATCTCTGAAACAGAGCGCAAACGGTTCAATGTTTGTCTTCTGTTCGTCTGCGTCTGCTCTTTTTCTGTTTCTTTCATCTTCACAGTGTTCACAAAACTATTTTGATATCAGAAATAACCAGTGGGATGTTTTTCGCTTCACTAGATAAGCCTCCTTAATGCAGTTCTGCTTGGCTGTAGTGAAGTTTAGCTGTCGGGAGAGGTGGAATGCGACGGTAATTGATATGTTTTCAATATTTAAGACTTATAGAGACATACGTAAATAGAAAGCGGATACATTCATCGGCAAGAGAAAATTTGCGTTTGTATGAAACGGGAAGTTTATTTTTAACCTTAATTGAGGTCAATTCAATCGTCTTAGGGCTTTAAACTTCTCTGTTTCACGCGTAATAACACCAATTTCCTGGTGCTACAATGTGCAGATAGACTTATTTTATTGTTTGCAGAAAGGTCGTGTTTGGGTAAAACGGGTAGTTCTTTAGAACATCCTTATCGACGTCAACCCTATTCTCAAAGAACTGGAGAGCCCGATATTTACCGTTTTCTCTTCCATACCTGAAAGCGACAATATCCTGGCTCTATGTCATTTATCACAGAAAGTTCGTGTTTGAGTATAATGAGAAATATATGATTATTTTTAAAGAGGTCAAACCTATCCTCTTAGAACCGGGAAGATTTAAAGCTCCCTATCCGTATAGAATAAAAAACCTCTCCAGATGAGATTCCTCTTAGCTTTAAATTTCTGTTTATGAACATTACTCTCTGTCCTAATCAATATATCATTTGTTACATTATTAACATTATTCTCCGGGCCGAAGAACAGGCGGTCTAATGTCTGTCTTCTCTCTTTTCGTTTGTCTGTTTACTCTGTTTCTTTCATCTTTACAAACTTCACAAAAATGTGTTGGAATCAAGCAGATCTAGAGGGAAGTTTTTACTTCACTAGATCAGTTTCTTGCAAAGGGTTCTATTAGGCTCAGGTAGAGTTAAACTGTCGTAGGAAATTGAGCTCACCGATATTTGTACACTTGTATAACATAACCACTGAGGAAACAAAGTCGCTTACATTGACTTCCTTTCGTGCTGTAATATTTTACGCGTCGAAAGATGATGACGTCTTCAGATTTCTTTATCCAAACCAGGCCCGTTTGTTACAATTGCTCGGCGCTGTCTTAGCAAGATGATCTTCCTCTTCCGCTGATACACGTCTCAAACCCACCGCTGACCACTTGAATAGCCTTTTCAAACCACGGGCAAACCAATGCAGACAATTAATTCCCAACATGAGTAAAACTTAGAAATGTTTAAAAACCTATATTGTATTTGACGATTGTGATCAAAAAAGCGAAAAAGGGATTCATAAGTGCTTCATATACCAGTTCGGTCAATTATGATTTTGCAGTATTGCCTTATAACATAAGAACTTTCCCCAAATCAAAAAACTCGCCCCAAATTGGAAACGTTGCTTACCGCAGTTCATGTCATTTGCCAAATAATCCTAAGGAGCAAACGTTTAAAATCGACAGAAAAGTTTTAACTCCCGGTTTTACTACGGTATCACTTATTCTTACTAAAACAAGCTAACAATCTTTGCGTTAACATCCGGTTGTCAATAAATTGTTTATATCCTTGCGAATGAGTAATCCCGTCATGCTATGGTGCCTGAGAAATAACTACGAAAGCCTTTTAAAGTTGTTGAAATTTAACCTGTATCTAATGCGTCGATCAGTTCAAAGCTTCAATATCCCCGCTGGGAAAGACTCCGAGCATTTGAAATTTAGAAGATTGGTTCGCTCGAATTCCTGCCCCAGCGGCCGAAAACTGTGTTCAAATGCCCTGTCCAAGCGCCGGATTTGATGATTTGTTTTTCTATTAAAGGTAAGATCAGCTGCATAGACCCTCTATACTCATTGACCAACAATTGGTTTGACTATCCAAGACCTTATAGACCAATTTGATTTTTCCAAGCCATCTGCTCGCGAAGGAGAACTCTTTACCTTTAACACCTTCATATTAAAAGATGCAGCACCCGTGCACCGCTGGTGAGACTTAAGACTTCTGGTTAAAATTCCCCATCCACCCAGACAAGGTTCCAATATCCCACCCCCGGACATAGACGACAGCCACATGCCCGTGGGTTGCCCAGGTGGGAATGTAATAGCTTCGAAATGATCGGCGCATAAGTAGAGCCATTGATTTGACATTTACAGCGTGGAAGCGATCAGTTGATTTGTAAAGCGTTTGGGATTCAAAAAAAGTTTTCTACGCATGTTGATACCACTAAGACGTCAACAACGAAGTCATATTAGAATTTACATCATCAGACATTAGGATGGAATAATTAGGATGTCATGCTATGTTTCATTAGTTATGAAAAGAGTTACTCTAGTCTTCACGTAACTGCACTTTTTCATCTTGGATAAACTGTTAGTTAAGAGCTGATGAATGTTCAAATCATGTCTTCTGCGTGATACCTGTCCATATGACATCATTTGAGAGTAATATTACTGTATGCCATAACACTTAAGTTTTCCGAGCGTATGATATCCTTCCTCGTTAGCATCGCCTGTATCACCAAACCTCAGCTGTTTAACCGGAAGATGTGTCTTGTCAGTAAGGAGACCGCTATCCTCACGCAGTATGCCGTCTTCCTTGTCACAATTACACATATTAGCAGGGTATGGACATGAGCTGGTCATCCCGCATGCGCACGTACCACTGCCGGGTGACGCTCCTCCCACTAATTCATTTTGATCGAATCCCGTGACACCCACCATCCAAGACTACCTTTGAAGAACTGTGAATAACGGCACTCATAACTGATAAACTGTTCGCAGTGTGATGAGACTCTGGTAAGACTCGCCAGCTGAGAAAGACTCGCTCCGGTGTAATGAATATCACGTGAGTAACTGCCCGGGCTCTCATATCCCTTCACATGTGTTCTACTTTCGCTGTCGTGACTGATAACTGTCACGCCAACTCCATTCTTGTCACTCATATCACAGTAAACTGTAAAAGGTGCACGAGGACCCCCACCGTCGGGATCAATGACGTAATTTCCACTTGTAATACTGACATATTTTCGAATCACAGAACAAGAAGTTATATTCCGTGGATTGATAACTTTTACTTTGCTTTCTACTGTTGTCAGAGCATTAGCTGCTCTACAGGTGTAAGATCCTTCGTGTGATTTCTTTATGCTGTTTATTACCAGTGTTCCATTCTGTAGAACATTGGACCCTGCAGGTAAGGACGAACTGCCATGCTTCGTCCAACTGATTGTAGTTTTCAAGTCACTCTCGACCACACACGGCAGATGAACAGTTGAGCCAGCCATTGGAGTAATTTCTTTTGGGGGTCGAGCTTTAAACCGCAGACGAGAAAATACCATGAGGTGAAATGTGCCTGCTGCTGATCCAAGAATATTTTCCGCCCTACAGATGTATATTCCTCTGTCTTTCTTTGTCACGTTATAAATTTTTAGTGTTCCTTTAATGACTTCAGCTCGATTCATCGGCAAGTTTCCAAACGCTTTAGACCACGTGATACTAGGCTGAGGCTGACCAGAAGCACCGCAGGCGATACTAACATTTTGTTTTTCCTCAGCTAACACTTCGTTAGATGATAAAATGATCTCAGGAGCGACTGTAAACATTTCAAGAGAAAGAACTATGAGTTGTAAAGACAATGAAAGTGATCTCCTGAATTATCATGGAGGTCAATCAGTTAGCCTTAATCAACAAGATCGAAGAAGAAAGAACAATATATAGTTAGTTGCAGTTAAAATAAAAATACTTATCCATATGCATAAGCAACGTATGGTTATGAACGTTGTGAGAATTAATCAGATAGCTTGTGCAAAATCATTAATGCGCAGATTCTTCCTGCATTTAGGAAATCGTTCTCTATTTGCAAAAGAAATAGACTGACTTACATTGAACAGATAACTTCGCCGAGGCGTTCACTTGTCCCAAAAAACTTTCAGCTCTGCATGAATAAACTCCTTCGTCACCACGTATAATGTCCCTCACAATCAGCTGGCCTCTGGATTCCACTTCGTGACGTCCAAAAGGGAGCGTTGAGTTCAGCTTAGACCACGTGACTTTTGGCTTTGGATTACCATCCGCAGTACATTTTAACATGGCTGTCTGACTTTCATTGACTGTCATTCCAACGGGACGCTCTAACAGAGATGGGGCTGAGAGGGACTGGCCCGGCTCACCTTTAGCACCTTTCACACCCGACGGGCCTGTAAGTCCCACGGAGCCAGGGCTCCCCGGTTTTCCAATGTCCCCTTTTATTCCTTTCGGCCCCTGTACTCCTATTGGTCCATGTTTGCCAGGAAGTCCGTTTGGGCCTGGTTTCCCTGGAGGACCCGGTTTTCCCCGAGTTCCCGCTTTGCCTCGACGACCCCTGTTACCTTTTGGTCCTGGGCGGCAGAGTGTCTGATCCTTAGCGAAGAATTGGTTTTGCAGTAGACTAAGTTCTTTTTTGATAAGCCTTTGTAATTCAGCTGATGTTAGGTTTGAATCCTGTTGTGAAACGTTTAGAGCAGAGCGTTTTTGTCGGCTTGGGTTGGCGTTCTCTCCATCTGAAAATCAAAGACTCGCCAATGAAGTAATGTGACTAACTACACATCAGCACTAAAGACACCAAAATCTTTCACCATCCTACAAGCATCATTTTGATCAGGAGAGAAATTCATAGCTGTGGTATGGAACGCGATGAAAGGAAAACTAATTCCTAAATGCGATAAATTTAAGAAAAATGAGAAAATTTATCATAAAACAGTATATGTCTTGTATCAATAAGTTCTAAAAAAAAAAAAAATGATGAACTTGGTTCTACAGCTGTACTGATCTCGAGGTTAATACTCCGCTGGAGACTCTGGTCGGATCTAATCTTTTTTCCTTTCAAGGAAAGGCTCGGCCCTACTTACATTTTAAAAGTTTGATGTAAGTCCATTACTTGCTACAGTACAATTGGACAGAATAGATAAGGATGATGGGATTTCGTAGATTTGGTCGACTTCGTTTTGATAAAATCGATTATATAAAAAGAGTTCAGTGATGTTACTTGGTCTCCTAAGGCTAGCTTGTTCCAATGATAGAGTAAAATAGAGATAGCGTGCGTTTTCAACCATGTCAAAGGTCTAAGCATTCTACTAAAGCGTGGTCTATAATCTCCAATTTGCAAACTTAAATTGCACAAGCCCATGATTGATTTTGCACATGAGCTTGTGAGAGTAGGTGTCATCATGTTGATCATGTTGAAGCCTCTTAAACAATTAACTAATTTATGTTTGTAGTATCAACTAACACCAAGTTACCTTTTGCTCGCCGGCCGCATTGTGCTCTCAGGTTTCAAACTGTGCCATCCTCTAATATTCTGCTTTACTTTTCGAAGGATTTCTGTCTCCATATTTGCAAATTCGTTTGCTGAGTTTAAAATCATTTGATGATTTTCTTGTATTCTGAGCTCCTGATGAATTAACGCGACACAACAGAAAACAGACAACAAGAGGCCTGACCCGGAACACAAACGGTTCAATGTTTGTCTTCTGTTCGTCTGCTTCAGCTCTTTTTCTGTTTCTTTCATCTTCACAGTGTTCACAAAACTATTTTGGATATCAGACATAACTAGTGGGATGTTTTTTTCACCTCACTTGTTAAGCCTCCTTAATGCAGTTCTGCTTGGCTCTAGTGACGTTTAACTGTCGGTGGAATGCGACGGTAATTGATATGTTTCCAATATCTAAGACTTTAAAACATATTACTAGAAACATGTAAATAGAAGGTTAATATGTTAATCGATAGAAGAAAATTCGTGTTTGTGTGAAACATGAAGTTTATTTTAACTTTAGATGAGGTCAACTCAATTGTCTAAGGGCTTTAAACTTCTCTGCTTCAAGCGTAATGATCGATAATGACATCAATTTCCTGGTGCTACAATGTGCAGATAGACGGTAATCTCATCGTTTGTATAAAGGTCATGTTTGGGTAAAACGGGTAGTTCGTTTAAAACATCCTTATCGACGTCAAACCTATCTGTAAAGAACTAGGAAGCCCCTGATTTTAAGTCTTCTCTTCCATGCCTTAAAGCGACAATGTCATGACTCTATGTCATTTATCACAGAAGGTTCGTGTTTGAGTATAATGGGAAATGTATTTTTATTTTTAAAGAGGTCAAACCTATCCTCTTAGAGCCGGGAAGATTTAAAGTTCCGTGCTCCGCACACAATAAAAACACTTCCAGATGAGATTCCTCAAAATTTTAAATTTCCGTTTATGTGCATTATTTTCTGTCCTAATCAATATATCGTTTGTTACATTATTAACATTATTCTCCGGGTCGAAGAACAGGCGGTGTAGTGTCTGTCTTCTGTCTTTTTGTTTGTCTGCTGTCCCTGTTTCTTTCATCTTTGCAAACCTCACAAAAATGTTTGGGAATCAAGCAGATCTAGAGGGAGATTATCACTTAACTTGATCGGTTTCCTGCAAAGGGTTCTCTTGGGCTCAGGTAGAGTTAAACTGTTTTAGGAAATTGAGCTCACCGATATTTGTACACTTACAACATTAACACTGAGGAAACAAAGTCGCTTACATTGACTTCCTTTCGTGCTGTAATATTTTACGCGTCGAAAGATGATGACGTCTTCAGATTTCGTTATCCAAACCAGGCCCGTTTGTTACAATTGCTCGGCGCTGTCTAAGCAAGATGATCTTCTTCTTCCGCTGATAAACGCCTCAAACCCACCGCTGACCACTTGAATGGCCTTTTCAAACCACGGGAAAACCAATGAAGACAATGCCTCACATGAGTAGAACTCAGAAATGTTTAAAAACCTACATTGTATTTGACGGTTGTGATCACAAAAACGAAAAAGTGATTCATAAGTGCTTCATATGCCAGTTTGGTCAATTATGATTTTGAGTATTGTCTTATAACATAAGAACTTTCCCTAAATCTAATATAAAAACTTGCCTCAAATTGGAAACGTTGCTTACCGCAGTTCATGACATTTGCCAAATAATCCTAAGGCGCAAACATTTAAAATCGACAGAAAAGTTTATTTTAACTTCTTTTACTGTGGTATCACTTACTCTTATTAAAACAAGCTATCAATCTTTGCGTTAATATCCGGTTGTCAGTAAACTGTTTATATCCTTGCGAATGAGTGATCCCGTCATGCTATGGTGTTTGAGAAATGACTACGAAAGTCTTTTAAAGGTGTTGAAATTTAACGTGATTCTAGTGCGTCGATCAGTTCAAAGCTTCAATATCCCCGCTGGGCAAACCTCCAAGCATTTGAAATTTTGAAGATTGGTTCGCTCAAATTCCCGCTCCCACGGGCGAAAACCGTGTTCAAATGCCCTGCCCAAGCGCCGGATTTGATATTTGATGATTTGATTGGTTTGTCTATAAAGGCAAGATCAGCTGCCCAGACTTTATACTCATTGACCGACTATTGGTTTGACTATCCAAGACCTTGTAGACCTATTTGATTTTTCCGAGCCATCTGCTCGCGAAGGAGAACTCTTTATCATTAACACCTCCATATTAAAAGATAAAAACACTTCCGGTTCAAATTCCCCACCCATCCAGGCAAGGTTCCAATACCCCAACCCCGGACATAGACGACAGTCACCTGCTCGTAGGTTACCGGAGGGGGGAGGTGTTGAAGCTTCGAACTGATAGGCGCATAAGTGAAGCCATTGATTTGACACTAACAGCGCGGAAGCGATCAGTTGATTTGTAAAGCGTTTGGTTTCAAAAAAAGTCTTCTACGTATGTTTATACCACTAAGACGTCAACAACGAAGTCATATTAGAATTTACTTCATCAGAAATTAGGATGAAATCAACAGCAGTCTTACTACTGTAATGCTATGTTTCATTCGTTATGATAAGAGTTACTCTAGTCTCCACGTAGCTGCACTTCTTCATCTTGGATAAACTGTTAGTTAAGAGCTGATGAATGCTCTAATCGTGTCTTGTACGTGATACCTGTCCAAATGAGATCATTTGAGAGTAATATTACTGTATGCCATAACACTTAAGTTTTCCGAGCGTATGATATCCTTCCTCGTGAGCATCGCCTGTATCACCAAACCTCAGCTGTTTAACCGGAAGATGTGTCTTGTCAGTAAGGAGACCGCTATCCTCACGCAGTACGCCGTCTTCTCTGTCACAATTACACGGATGAGCAGGGTATGGGCATGAGCTGGTCATCCCGCATGCGCACTTACCACTGCCGGGTGACGCTCCTCCCCAGTAATTCATTTTGATCGAATCCCGTGACACCCACCATCCAAAACTACCTCTGAAGAACTGTGAATAACGGCACTCATAACTGATAAACTGTTCGCAGTGTGACGAGACTCTGGTGAGACTCGCCAGCTGAGAAAGACTCGCTCCGGTGTAATGAATATCACGTGAGTAACTGCCCGGGCTCTCATATCCCTTCACATGTGTTCTACTTTCGCTGTCGTGACTGATGACTGTCACGCCAACTCCACTCTTGTCATTCATATCACAGTAAACTGTAAACGGTGCAAGAGGACCCTCGCCATCGGGATCAATGACGTAATTTCCACTTGTAGTACTGACGTATTTTCGTATTACCGAACAAGAAGTCATGTTCCGTGGATTGTTAACTTTTACTTTGGTTTCAACTGTTGTCAAAGAATATTCTCCGCCCTACAGATGTATGTTCCTCTGTCCTTCTTTGTCACGCTATAAATTGTTAGTGTTCCTTCAATGACTTCAGCTCTATCCATTGGCAAGGTTCCAAACGCCTTTGACCACGTGATTCTAGGCTGAGGCTGACCAGTAGCACCGCAGCCGATGGTGACATTTTGTTCTTCCTCAGCCAACTCTTCGTTAGATGACAAAATGATCTCAGGAGCGACTGTAAATGATATAACAAAAA